TGTAGCATGCTTCAATATCTGTTAATTCTTTCTAAACTATTTATAAATGGAAGTTTAGTATAATTGGCCAATTAAGGAGGGTGGTGCTGTTCAGCATCACCATCTGTATGAGCTGAAAGGAAGAAGAGGTGTGTTACCAGCACCTGCAGTCCTTCCTCTGCACTCTCTGTAAGGCTTCATCTTACAAATGGTTATTACCATGAGCAGATCTTCTGACTCAAGCATGAGTATTCCCAGTAAGAGCTGTAGCAGTGTTATTTGCATGGTTGGGAATGTAAGACAGTGGCACATCCAGCGTATTCTATACATATTCCCTGAAGCAGGGTGTGAGGAAGCACAGTTTGTACCTTTCAGACACCCAAAAGTGAGAGTGATGAAATTTCACACAGCCTGACTGCTCACCTATTGCATGTTAATTCAGGTCATTGTCAAGGGTGTCATACCCTGAAGTTTCAGTTTAGATTTTATTGACTTTGAGTTTGCAAGGAAAGAGGAGTATCAAAGTCCACCCAATTCATGCTTGAAGCAAATAAGAGGTTGGCTGGATGTTTTCTGGAATGACTTTCAAAACCACACATGGAATCGTACCAATTCAAAATTTCTAAGGCATTTCACCCAGGGACACAAGTCTGATGCATCACTGCACGCTGCATGCATGCTGCAGGTTCCCCTTCTTGGAAGCATGGCTCCAGCTTGACCAGCTGTATTCAGCATCCTGGTAAAACTGTGCTATGAAAGCAAGTTCTGCTGAGACTGCAACAAAGTACCAAACTCACCTTGGATTGTAAGAAAAAGTTCCAGGAGATGGTTATTCAAAGAAGAAACAAATGCCAAATCTGACCTAAATGTTAAATTCATGCTGTGAATGAATTATTATTATGTTCTACTGGTGTGTCCTAGCAGGAGCAGTGCTTAAAGCATTTGGGACCTGATGTGAGAGAAGGGTGATGGAGAGATGCTCTGTACATGGGCTACACGTGTGGTGCAGTTACCAGGCCAGCTGCACTCTCCTGTCTCCTGTTTCTCTCCATCTGCACCTCAGCAGTGTCAGGCTTCAGCCCTGCACCTCTCAGGAAATTCTGCATTCTCTGAAACCAGCTGCAAACTGGATTCAAGCCCCTCAGTTTCACCAGTAAGGGAGCACTGGTGTGGCATGAACTGGGCCTCACTTGACAGCAGCTGGCTAAAATGAGTAAAAATTACTTTAAAATGAAGGACCTTTTAACTTTGACATTTTGAATTATCAAATAGATTGAATAAGGTATAAAATCATAACAGCTGCAAACTACAGCCCACACATGCACATTTTGTTTCAGTCCTTTGCCCCTCTCTTTCATAGCTCAGCTGTCTCCAGGTTATTGTCAGTCTATGGAATGGGAGGAATAGCCTGCAATGATCTCAGTGTCTTAGAGTGCCCTCTGCATCTTCCCCCTCCTAAACCTTGGGTCTGCCTCCCTTATGTTTTGGGGTTTCTGAATTCCTCCCTCCAGGCTTGTCGAAGCAACTGTGTCACTTTGTGAGCAAGTAAAGAGTCTCTTCTTGGGTCTCTAAATCTGGCAGTTGTGTTTGAGGCTATGCTCTTTATCTGAGCAACTGCACTGATTTTCCTGCTTGTATTTCCAGCAGCCTTTTGATGACTTCCATTGAGTTAATGCACAAGCATACAGGAATGCAAAACACAGAGCAAAATGAGTCACGCACAGTGTTCACACTTTGCTGGATTGTTGCATTTAGCATTAAATTATTGGAATATTTATAGATTTAATACTTCTAAAAGCGTTTAATGCCTGTAAAGACTCTTAGGAGGTTAGTCACTAATAAATACTTCCCACTAAAGAAATTTAGTTCATAGGCATGGAGATGACGTCGTACCTCTTTCCACTCATAAGACATAAGAGTCTGCCGTACCAATGTGCTGCCTGTAGGGCCTCAGACTTTCATTTTCTGGTGAGAGGGCTAAAAATTTAAATTCCTATTCTTTCATTGCAGCATTTCAGCATAAACTAATGTTTTCATTCCTTTCTTTTGGCCCTGTCCCAGTTCTGTCCACCTGACTCTGAGATACAGGAGCAGTGCATGTGGTTGGTTTTTTTACGAACTGAATTACAGCATTGCTCAGCTGAGATGATCTTGATGAGAGGGACAAAGCTGTCATTTTTGCTTGTTAGCACTTTTTGTACTAACAGTACAGAAGCACGTAGTAGGCCACAGTACTGAGTTTTTATAGCCAGCTCGAGAATCATGTCCCATTTGTAAAGGTAAATTAAAGGAAATTTGTTAAAATGAAGAAGATGCAAGGAAAATCTCCTCAGTCTTGGTGTCATATCCTATTACCACCACTTTCTGGTAAAGGAGGAAGAGTTTTGAAAATGTACAGCTCTCTTTTCACCCTGACACTTAAATTGAACACAGGCTTCTTTAAACTCTTTCCACTGCTCCTATATACAATTTCCAGTGTGGACAAACTGAAGCTTGCTATAGGGCCGACTTTACTTCTTACATATTTTGCATGTAATTCAGCAGCAGAAATAAATCTTGTTCAGTAGCAATCATGTGGATGCTGAATGCAATTCCAGGAGGATTTCATACTAACTCTTTCTTATGTCCCCTGCCTCAGGCTCCTAGGCTGGATGAAAGCACAGTACACAACAACTATTTTTCAAATATTACTTCCAATAAAGAACAGGGATTTGGGAGGTGGGGACTGCAATATTCTGCCCCTACATGTGTATGATCATTTTTGTAAAAAAATAAGAGGCGATAGGGTTAGGAAGGGAGAATTCAGGGATGTTGGAAACACCTGATTGCAAAAAGGAGATAGCAGAGTGGAACTTTTAATCAAGTGTCCTGGAATTCAGGTGAGTGTCAGAGAGGACATTCCCACCACAATTAAGAGTTGATGGGAACATCTCCTTTAAGTTGGTGTTTAACTGCATCTCTGGGCACCTGAATGCCTTCCACATTTGTCCAAAATAATCTATAGACTCCTCTTGTAATTCATGGTTTGGAAGAAGCTTTTCCCGATGATTCATGCAAGGAACATTTTAACTAAATGGACTTCCCATCTGCATGACACATCTGTGGTGCAGTCAGCTACTTCACTTATAGGAAAGGCACATACAGTAGTCTTTCAAAAGTGGAGCAGACAGTTCTCCCCTTAAAATTACTTTGCATAAACCTTTATGAGGTGCCCCAGATCTTGATGGTAGAAATTTAGGCTTAATCTAGTGTGAAAAAATGCCAAGAGTGAGCCTCTAGCTTTTTATTGCTGCATTATGATGGGCAGATTGCAGGGTACAGAAAAAAACCTAAGTGGGAATTTTCTGCATAGAATGAGTGCCCCAGATCTTCTTGGTGCCAGTTGAGATTTAATCTGGCCAAAAAAATCGTGCTGTGAATGAGCTTCTGGTTTTCACCTACTTAATGTGATGGACAAACTGCAATGGGATACAAAGAAAACCATTAGGGGAGAGGATACAAGTAGAGAAAACAGAACCTGCCATTGTGTTCAGTTGTAGCTTATTCTTTCCTTGGAAATATTTCCTCTTTTGCAGTTCGCTTTTTTTTCAAAGAATTCTACTACTCAAACTTATTTACTAATATATGTCTGAGAGACCATTTTAGAGACCATTTTTCTGTTTTATTCTACAACAGCTGAAGAGAGTAAACTGATACAGTTTATGGTCTAAATTTGTTTTATATTTTTAGGTACAAGCTGACATCAAGTATCTGACCTATATAAATTTTTAATATTTGTGTGTGTAAACACAGACACATATTAAAAGACATACACCCATGCACTTGGTTTTCTACAGGAATTTCACCTTTTCATGTTTGTTACCTGAAGGCAAGTAATTGCTTTCATGGCTCTTGTTATAGCTAGGCTATTATAGGTAGGAAACATTGGTAGGTTTGCTATATTGACATATTGCTGCATGGTGGTTGTTGAACAAATAGGTTCTTAGCCAAATTCTGTCCTGTAAGATGTTTCAGTCTTCAAGACAAGTTTCCTTCTTTTGAAAAAGGGTAGAAAGCAGCTGCCTCTGGGGCTCATTGATGTACAGTCACACATAAGGTATGGGGTTTTTTTCTGCAGGGCAGCCCTCCTCCTAGAAACTTCCTCTGCTGAAATGTTTGTGCAGTCTGCCCTTTCTGCTCTTCTACCACATTTAGCATAGCGCACTTGCACATTTTATTGTCAGCAGCTGACATTTTTCATAGGTAGCCTTTGCTGGAGAGCATGAGACCATTAACAGTGTAGGTGACCTTGCCAGCAGATAGGACAGTTCACTCTCCCTTGACTGGCCTCTTTCTGAGGGCACCTGAGCTGTAATTTTGATATTAATGAAGTCATCAACAAAAGCTGAAGACCTGACTTGCTTAATGCAGCAGCAAGAAGTCTCACTGGAGAGCAAAGATGTAAAATCCATCAGTGAGAAGCTGGAAAGGGTTAAGCCAATGCAATTTTTGATTTCAGTGGGAAGTCATCACACAAGAAATGACTGTGTGCTTGAGTCAAGGGGACTTAGGGGTTTAATTCTTGTCTGGAATACCTACCTTTGTGCCTTGTACACATGGTGCTTTTCCGTGTTGCTTGTGACAGAGAAAGTCTCATTTTGTAACTGCCAGCACTGTGCAAAACAGAATTCTTAGCACAAATATGAATGTCTTCACCATCCTTTTGAATTGAGCTGTTCAACTTGCACAGAGCAGACCTAGTAGCTTCCATGTGCTTGATGACCAAAAGGAAAGTAGTAACTGCCTTAATCAAAAGGGATTATAATATTCTCCCTGAGCAACAGCATTTATTTGATTTGAGTGGGGGACAACTGAAAAAAGTGACAATAGTGAAAGGAAAGAAAAGGAAAAAGTGATGTCCTTTTCCAGTGACAGCCTCCCTCCTCCTCCTCACTTCATGCCTGTGCCTGTGGTGGCTGGTGTTCAGGGTTATCACTTGTCCAGCTTTTCTGAGGGATGTTTTCCTTGTTGTGTCCATTCAGGTCTCGGTCAATCAGCGGAGCATCATCTGGGCTCTCCACCAGTCCTCTCAGCAGTCCAAGGGTAAGTGGTGCTGCTTCAAGATCTGTTGGTCCAGTCCACTCACACATGCTTGATGCTTTTGGACATCTGTTGTGCCAGAGCTGTGGCTCTTAGCTGGGATGTTTTGCTTTTCCTTGGCAGCTTGTAAATGTTCATGGTTGGTGAGGGAAATGTTACTTACATATGCAAGTGGAGGATTTCTCATACATGTTCCCTGCACTGTTAGCAGGGATCTCACTGTGCCCCTGCCCTTCTTCAGTCTCATGAGCACACAGAATAACATTGCTATGACTAAACACTCCATATCCAGCTGAGGTCTGCATACAGCCTGGTTTCAGGCCAAATGATCAGGAGCCATTTCACAGCTGCCTTCAATTAGGTGCCAGTAAAGCACCAAAGCATGGTGGTTATCTTCTGTTTGCCTCGGAATAGCTCATATTAGGAAGTCAGAGAAAATAAATTACACAGACTTGAGGGCTAGCAAATTTAAAAGGAAAGAAAGAAGCTGACTGACTAGGATGAGTAAAGAACATTCACATCCCTATAAATAAGGTACTTTCACATGCCCTTTTAAAGCATGCAGTCAACTAATACGGATACCCAGCCAGTACAACACATGCTTGATTGTACATTTATTGTGAAGTTGTAACGTTTCACAGAGGCCTCCCTCTTCTTGTTAACTTCTTTAGGGATAAAAGTGAGTATTCCTAGTGCTTGAAAAGGTCAGCTAAGTCACTTCAAGACTGCAATGCCCAACAAAAGTCTAGACTTGATCAAAAAGTCTATTGTGTGTGACAGTGCATGTTACTTAAATGTCTGGCCTAGAGTCTCTGGAGGATTTTTACATCCTTCTCATGACTTCATGAGAAGATGCTATCCCCCATTAGAGACTGATATATATTCCATGTCTTAGGGTATGAATACAACTGTGGATCTACTCTTAGTTACATGAAGGTAACATCAGTATTCCAAGTATTTGAAATTGCAGTTCCACCCTAAGATTCTGCGTAATTCTTGTGAATAAAGACATACTGTCAGATAAAAGTTTATAGTCTAGTAAAGCTTCCAGCACTTTGCTTGATTGAATTATTTTCTGAAACCTATTTTGGGCTCCTGCCAATTGTTACCCTTTTTGAAACCCACATAAGTGTTCTTGTGCTCTCCTGTATGTCCCTGAAGTCCTAGGGACCAGTGAAGTTCTGTTTCCTTCTTTCTGTACTGGGACTCCTGGTTGCCAGTGGAATGGAACAGAGGCCTGAGAACTCTTATGCCACTGCAAAATATACTGGAAAAGAGCATGGAAACACTGCTGTGCACAAAATAAGCATCTAGTGAAGCAAACCTAAATCTTGATTTCAGTAATTGATCTCTTGGGATCAATTTCTGACATCTCAGTAGGACAACATCAAAGAATAAGTTTGACAAGATCTGTCGCTGTGTCTTACCATTATTATTTAATAGGCAGTTGATTAAATAGTCTTCAAAGAGATTTAGCAATCAGGTGGCATTTTCAGCAGATCATAATGATATTAAGGCAGGTCACATTTGAGGCTTAAAAGGAAATGTTGGAATAAAAATCATATTTTTTTAAACATCCTTACCTATGCTTCTAATAGCACCTTAGGTTATTGAAAGAGAACATACTTTAAAAAGCAAATACACCTTTCACTTTTTGCACTGCTTGGGTTCAGTTCTTTGAAGAATTGAATTCAGCAGCGAATAAAAGTTCTCAGATTTCACAAGATCTTGCTAATGGTCCACATGGCACCAGCTGAAATTGAGACCTAAGCTTGTTCCTCATTTCATTATTAAATATGTGGTAATTAAGGGTGCCTCTTCAGATTCTTAATGGCTTAAGAGGGAGTTGAATCTGACTTTATTTCTTTCAAATCTGCTTCTCAAACCATCATACATGTAAGAGAGGAAAATTGCAAGGAAACATTTGCAATTAGCAGTCTGAGTTTTATCCATCGGTGTCATTTGCAAATACTTAATAGTCAGATGCTGATAGTGACTGCCACAAATTAACCTCTTTCCTCATCTTTTCCCCTTCCTTGCTCATTGAAAATCAGAATTTAGGAACATGGCAGGCTTTAGTTTGAGTTTACAATCCTAATAATAGTACTTGGTGTACTGTTTTTCCTTTAATTTTGGTGCCCTTACCCTAAGTCGTTTGAAGTTGCTACCAAACTTTGATGCAAACAATTTAAAGACATGAGTCTTAAATACATTTCTACAGTTTTTTAAATATGGCAACATTGTGCTAATCCCTCACACACAGGATGGAAACTCCCTAGTGAGTGTGTTTACCTGGGACAGAGATTACAAGGTTACATGTACATGGTATGTCTGGTTAGTTTTTGATTACAGCTTTTTAAGTGTCAAGAATGAATAATAATAATGATGATGTGTAAGTTTTCATAGGTAATAACTTTGTAGAAATCAGAATCTAAGAGTAGATCAAAGTTGAATATCTTGAGTAGTGATTTATATTTTTACAATTATTCCAGTACTTGTAATCTAAGGTGTTAATAGCAATGTTTTGTAAGGACATTATTTTTTGTTTTAAATGTGATTTTTAGCTTGCTAATATCCCTTAAAAGGCTTCTACCCTTCCAAGTCTGTCTATTGCTGTTTGCTGTCAAAGTATGAATGGTTTCCCAAAATGCCCCTTAACATGTGTAAATATTCCTGTTTGGGGAAAAAAAATCATAATCTCATTTTGATACCTCAGTGATGGATTATGAACTTTGCTTGTCTTTTTTCTTTTTAAACTGTGTCTTACAAAGCAATGGCTCCCCCCACCCTCTTAGACTTGGGACTTAACGGCAAATATTGCTGAGACTTTATGACAGAAATTCCAATTATCAAGCTATCCTTCAATGCAATGAGGGATGTTGGAGGAGAAGCATAAAGTTGCCGGACCTCACTGAAGTTTTTGCTGTAGCAGTTTAAAAATCAAACACCAATCTGAGTTCATATATTTCTCGTGGTGTTGTGTGCTCTGAAGCTTCCAAGTGAAAGCAGAGCAATTTAACCTTCCAGATCAGGGGAGAAGAGCAGATGCTCAGGTGGCATCACTCTCCCTTTTCCCCCTCTTTCTGCAATGGGTGGCTGCAACTGGTGCATTGCCCAGCCAGGGGTAAAGAGGAAGGAAAGAGGTTCTGACTGGTGTGTGCAGTAACTGTGTGTATCCCCTGCCACTCTGTGTGTATCACACACCTGTTCTGAGTCTCATCTCTCTACTGGGTTTGCATATGGGCACATGGAGCTGAAAGAGGTGGTCCCATTCTTGGCACATCTCAATTTGTCTGTGGCTTGAGTGGTTCTTCTTCCCCTTCCTCACCTCCCTACAGCATCGTGCTTCTCTCACTGCAGGGCAATCAGAACAATCCCAGAGAGATGGCATTTCTCTCTTCTTTTTTTCTTGGTTACTTCCTTTTTTTTCCTTTCTTTCTTTCTTTTTTTTTTCTTTTTTCCTTGTTCTTTTTGTTGTACTTTTCTTTCTGTTGTTTTCCTTTGCTGACACGTGGTTGGTTAATATGATGAAGCCTGTTATGACACTGTTGTTCTTGCTGCTGCCGCTGCTGCTGTTGTTGAATATGCTGTGTTCCCAGCTAACTGCATGTCTTTTTTTTGTTTTTTGTTTGTTTGTTTGTTTTCGTTTCTTTGCAAAATCCCTCCCCCCCACTACCCCTTCACCTCCATCTCCTGTGTCTCCTTGTGACATGGTGCATCTTTGTGACTCGGATGGATTTTATTCTGACTTTCCTTTCTCTGCTCGCCCGCTCTTTGCGTATTTCACTGTTTTTGATGTGCATGGACACTCTGCGTCTGTCTCGTAGCCTATCAGAAAGTTCTTCATCCCCCCTCAGACCTCCGACCTCCCTTTCTCTCCCCGACCCCAAGTCTCCTTGGACCCTGATGCTTGTAGGAACGCCTCCAGGCCTGGACATGTACTCCAACCAAAGCCAGCACTTCAGCCCAACCCAAAGACGCAGACTTTGCCATCCAAGAGCAAATTGGCTGAAAAACCACTCCAGTCTACTAAATCCAACCCACTCCCTGCCAGCAATACCAGCGCCCCCTCTTCCCAGAACAACCCTGTGCAGAACGCTCAGGGCCGCTCGCCTGCTGCCGGCTTTAACCCACAGCTGGCTGTTCCTAAAGTGCAGACCAACCCTATGTCTCCTGTTAGATTGCTCCCTTCTAGTACTGACCCAAGCACCAAATCTATCCCCATCATACAGGTCACCCCTCACCCCTCTCCAAGGGGAAGTCCCCTCCCTACCCCCAAGGGGACACCTGTTCATACGCCAAAGGAGAGCCCAGCAGGCACACCCAACCCAACACCACCATCCAGCCCCAGCATTGGAGGAATGCCTTGGAGGACACGGCTCAACTCCATCAAGAATAGTTTCCTGGGGTCTCCTCGCTTCCATCGTCGGAAATTACAAGGTGAGTACTCACCCAGACATACAAGGTGCTTCTGATTTGGGCAGACATTCAGCAGGAATTTCATACCTGTCTGTGGCTCTGCAAATTCTTTATACCAAGGACTGAATACTGGTGTGGAAAATGAGAGTGATAGCATCAGCCAAGCCCTAACCCCATGTGAGATGGCTCTGTCGTGCCACTGCTCCTGCTCTGACAGCATCTCCTGAGCCCACTTCACACTCCAGCCATGCAGCTCTTACTATCCCTGTTGTGGCTCCTAGACTGCAAGAAAAGTCTGCCTTCAGTTTCTTCACTTGCTTTGCAAGTGCTCAGGGCTAGGGCTCAGCCATTTCCCCTGTGGCTGTGCTCCACTGCCTCTCCACAGCCACAGGCTGAGCCTTATGCTGAAAAATAAGACAGCCAGAGGCAATAGGCTGAAACTGTCCTTCTGAAGCACAGCTTTTTTGATCTTGGTTAATGCCTTTTTTTGCCTCCTTTGGTAATTGGTGCAAAAATCTCCTTAATACAATCAGTGCTTTCATATCTGCTGGCCTACTTCAGTTTTCTAAGTCTCTAGAGTGTTGAGATGTGCAAAATTTTCTTCCTCGGGCTCCAGGTGGCTTTTTTGCATGCCAGCAAAGGGCACCCAAAGTCACATGCCTTATCCTTGGATGTCAGCAGCAGCTATCCCAACACCCTGTGGTTTTACAGGGTACTGGGAAGTGATCCCATGGGAAAGGAGGATTACAGCCATGGAAGAGTTAGATTTTTAACTGTGGTGGTCAGTTCCAATGTCTCTGAGGTGGTCAGAGAACTGCAGGGAATTGAAGCAGTGACTGAGCTGTGTCCAGCTGGGCTTTGAGGCAATTGCAAAGCAGTTGCATTGGCACAGTGTGTTTGGGTCTGAACCAGAAGCCACTGAAGCCAGTGCAAGATTACCTAATGACCTAAGGAAAAGTGGAGTGAGCCTTGAAATGCAGCACTTGATTAGATGCAGAGGTCTAGAGACATATGACTGGCTTTCAAATGTCAGGATTAGCCTGCAGAGGCAATGGGCAAATGCAAGTGAGTGCAGAATTGTTTCACTGGTATACATGCAGAAAATGAAAGGTGTACTGAATCATCAAATTTCTTTTCTCCCTCCCTCTCTTCGGCTGTCTGTGCATGAGCAGTACCTACACCAGAAGAGATGTCTAATTTAACCCCAGAATCATCCCCAGAGTAAGTACTTTGCCTTTTCTTCCACCAAATACCAGTGTCATTTCCTGGCCTGAATGTTGTAAGCTGAGGTATTTCTGTTCTGGATCAGTATCTGTTTGTAACCTTTTGTCCTGTGAGCGGGACAGAGATGTGAAATTATTGTTTTGGTGAGGACCCTGCATAAAACCTGTACCTCAGTAATGGCAGTGGGGTCAAGAGGTGACAAAGGAGTCCCCAGTAACCACCTCGTTTTCTCACAGCTTGCTGAATTTGCTGGGTTTGTAACATGTTTCTTCTCTCTTCATTCTTTTGATTGTCAAGTAGTTCACTGCTTGGGACTAGAGAAGCTAATCAGTGCTTATACTGGCACTAACTGTGCACCAAAAAGTCTTCCTTATAGTACAGGAGAGTTTGCATCCTCAGGATAGGGTGCAGGAAGCTCTGCTAAGATAATTCAGAGGGATCCTTGGCTACCAGAGTAAGCGCAGTGTTCATTCCCGGCAGCAGTACTGGGACATGGAGGAGCTGTTTCATATTCTCCAGGCTCATTCCTAAAAGTCAGTGTACATTTCAACCATTTCTCTGCACAAATGTGCATCACTCCATGGCAGGTTTGGAAGTCTCTGCCAGAGTGCTGCTCCAAACACTTCCTAATATGCAACAGATGCCAAATTATTCCTTTTTATTTTCACAGCTTGTGTTTGTGCACCCAATGCCCATAGACTTAGCCTGCCAACCAAGGCAATTTGGCCTCTTGTTAAGAGACTTGTATGAAATATTCATGAGTCTTGGATGGGAATTTTGAGCCTAACATTTTGAAATTGGTGACAATGGTATTGTCTTCACAACTTGCCCCAGACCTGACTTTTATCTGGTGTGAGATGGGCACTCTATGTGTAGTACTGAAGAATGGAGAGGAATAAAGGCTTCAGAGAAGGAGAAGTAGGGATTAGTAAAGGTATCCAGGAATAAAAATGGAGTATACTGTCTTCCTACACTTTGGACCATTTACTAATAGAGAGGCATGAGAGAATTTCATTAAATCAGCGCATCATTATCACAGAAATATACAATACTCTCATCTCACATATTTTAAAGCCATTAAAACACAAAACCTTTAGAATTAAATTTCTTCTCTTCATTGCATGTATGTTGGTGGAAGTTTTGCTGGTAATTTATTGCCTTCCCTGCTTCCCACTCACTCTTTAAAAGCTGGTGGAGAGAAGTAGTGCCTGTCATTTGAGGTAGTTTGGATGCAAGTCAAACCCTAAGGCCCTCTTTTCTTTTTCTGTATAATTGCCAAATTAATGAGTTCAATTGGGCTGCACCCTGCAGTAAACATAATAAAAGTCATAAAAAATAATGAACTAGATTATATTTTAATGATAGATGTCTGTTGCTCAGTGCCCACTTCCACATGTCTTATTTTTTCCCATATTTTCTTTTTTTCTGTAAGAAATAAGATATCCTTATCAAGAGCTGTATTGACCTCATGGGTTGAGTGATAAATGCATGTCCTAGCTCTGTCTGGTACACCGATTCCTGCCATTCATTTAACAAACCTGATGATTAGGTAATACACTTTGACATGTCTGGGTAATGCTGTTCTCTCTCATGTGAAAAAGCCCTAGAAAATGTGTTAGGGATGACATTTAAAGAGACTTAGCTGCAGCTGCTTTAAACCTGCAAAGCTCCATTTGCTTGAGTAGAAATGCTGCTGTTTATGCCAGGCAGGTAAACCTCTGGAGGTTACTGATCCGTGTGCTCAGAGACAGAGGGGGAGCACAGAAGGCTACATGGTCAGACACTACAAAAGTAGGAAAAGGAACAACATTACAGGAGTGAGAAATTTTGGTGTGAACTACTAAAGCACCAGCTTCTATTTTCACGCTAATTGCTTTGCCTTTTCATCAACTGGATACCCGATTGGATTCCCTAGTGTAATCTACAATAGCCAGCCTCCCGCACTTATCTCCTATCTCACTCCCCCTTTAAGAAGTTTGCCTTGGTAAGAGAAGATTCTTAATTTTAAGTACATTTTGTACTACTTACAGCCTGATCTTGAGAGATTCTAGAGCATGTCATTAGGGGTGCTGAAGATTCATATACATTTTAACCCAAGTTAGTAACACTTAATGTCCTCTAAGAGGAGAAAAGCCCTTATTGTGTAATTTTACTCCAAGGCTGTCCCCTCTTCTCAGTGGGCCTATTCCCTAGGTATATGAGTACAGCTAGTTCTGCCAGTTTTGGGGAGAAAAGCCAGTGCATGTGTGCTGTGTCTTGATTCTGCTCATTACAGAAACAGGAGAGGCCACTGGCATCTATTTCGTCTTATGTGACACCAATAAAATTATTTTAGTGAATTCAAATGATTTACAAGCTGGAGCATAGCCCAGGCTAGCAGTGAATCTTCCAGACTCACTATTACTGGTGATAACCTCACCGAGGAAAAGAGCCCAGATGGATTCTGGAGACTCCAGACCATGTTGAACAGGAAAAAAAACTCCCTATGTTCTGGGCCCTTGTTAAAAGACCTATAAATGAAGGGCTAGTGAAACCATTAATGAAAACACAAAAATGAAAAGCCATATTTTAAGATGGTAGACCTGAAATTAAATAAGCACACTTTTCCAGGCCCATGCTTCCCCTTGGCCCCTGGAGTGTGTCCAACCAACCCTGGTTCAGATGATGATACATCCAAACCTAAGACAAGCAGCCCTTTAAGATGGATAACCAGGTGCTAATTTACTAATGAGCACAGACCCCTTACATGCAGGGAGCTATTTCCCCAGCTCTCCAGGGGCTTGCAGAGTTGTTGTGGTGTGTGAGAGACACATGAGCTAATTAGTATGTAATTTTCTTTCTCACTCTAACCCTGGCTCCTTAACGACCATTTAAATGAGAGGCCCTTTCTCTTTACTGCTCCCTATGCTAATCCCTGGCTCACTGGCTTAGTTACAGCTACCTATGAATATTTTAGGGAGTGACAGTTATCCAGCCCACTTTAATTGAGTGGGGGGCATTGTTTTACCAAATTGCAAGTGAATCTTTCTGCACTCTTATTTTTGGTTGCCTGCAGTAAATGAAGCAAATCATTATTTTCCCAGCTGAGCAGTCTTCCCGTTGTGGTCTTTCTGCTGTGTGCATTAAATGGGCAGTGGGCCCACAGCTGCACAATTCATGGAGCACTCTGGGATGGGGAATGAGTGCAAATTGCTGGGCACTGCTGAGGTCAAGCTTTATTCTTTATCCTGAAGGCCTAGACTTCAAATTAGTTTCTTAGTTTGCTCTTCTCTCTCTTAGCCTCTGTCCTTCCTCTCTCTCTGCCTCACTTTACTGCAGAAAGTGAGGCTACTGGCAGCTTGCTCCAGCTGTTTATTGCTTTGCTGAAAAATTGATGTGTAGTAATCCCTTTTGCAGATGGCTCTTCTTGTCTGGAGAGATTGTCTTCTTCCACTGAGTGGTGAATGTCCACTCTGATGCTTGCTGTACTGCAAATTGGATTTGGTGTTATAAAGTATGCTATAGAGGGGGGAAAAGGCAGTCTCTTGGTGGCAGGTCTTTTAATTTCTGACATTTTCATGCTGAATTCTTCTCTACTAGAATATAGCTGATTTAAGTGTGATTTTCCCTGGGTTTAGTTTGGTTCAGCTAGTCTTTGGCTGTGTCACACGGCTGATGGCTTCTTTTCTGCTCTCCAAGCCACACCTGTCAGAGATGCTACTTTCAGGTTCTGGATAGTGTCTCTCATTAACATTCATGTCCCTGTATTCTTCCTTTAGCCTGTTTAACATAAAGCCAATGTCAATGAAGTGCATTGAAATGGTTAAACAATAAACAAAATCAAACGTTTGCTGATACGATCACTGTGAAAAAACAATTTCATTTTATGCTGAAACCACTGTCTGATCCTGGAACAAACTGAGGAGCTGGACTGCTGTCAGTGGAAAGCCTGAACTGTGTCTTGCATGGTGTTGTTTTCTCCTTTCTTAATACTGCAAATTCATTCCTTTGTAGGCTGGCCAGAGTTCACACACTATGTAGACACCCTGAATGGGACTAATGGACTTGGTCCTGGCCTTGTGTAATTGTGGATTTCACTCACTGGTACATTGGATCTCCAGTGAAATCTACAGCTTGCTTTAAAAAGCAAGGTGTTGTGATTGTACAGGACACCTTCAGAAAAGCATCTTTCCAAGACCTGTAACACCAAAGGAGTTGAAATTGGGTGGGAAGGAGCTTAAATCTTTACGTTGCCAGGATCTGCATGTTGTCACAAGAAATTGAGAGATCCCTGGAGACAAACCAGAAATGTGTCCCCTTTTATATGTACGTTATCTATGCAGTATTCATTGGTGTGTTAGCTCAGTCAGAAGAGTTGCCATTGCTCCTGATTTTTCATTGCTGGTGACACATGCTGCCAGACAAAGGCTGTATGGTCTGTCATTTCATCGGTTTTCACCAAGTGAAATGTCATTCTGGATGTTCTCTGATACTATTTCCCACTTATTAGTAGTAATACTGTCACATCTGGAGTGTCATCAAAACTTTTTGTGTGTTTTTTTTTAATGTTTTTTCTAGCTAGGGGCATGTAGTAAATAAGAAATAGTTCTAAACATCTTTTTCTTTTCATCACATCAGGCTTGCCAAAAAATCCTGGTTCGGTAACTTCATCAACTTGGAGAAAGAAGAACAGATTTTTGTGGTCATTAAGGACAAACCACTAAGCTCCATCAAGGCTGATATAGTCCATGCTTTCCTCTCGGTGAGTCACCCCAG